ATGCATATATTCCAGTCTCCCCTCCCACCAGTAAAAATTCATAAAGTCTCAATTAGTCCAGCCTTTGTAAGGACAGACTTACAAAATAATTACACTGTACAAAGGTGTTCTGTCCATATCCCTCTAGTTACCACATAGACCAGACTGAACAGTTTGGTCAGATTCCCAATTGAACAGCTTTCTTGAGCCATTGAATAGAATGAACCATCTGTTAACATGAAGTCATATAGTCAGATGTCTTTATTAACTCTTGTTGAATCTTCTCCAACTGCCTCAGAACATGGCAAAGTCCAGAAATTGTCTATACCTACCCTGTACCTTTCTCAGTCTTTTACCTTACAAAGAACACAGTGGCTTTCTGCTGTCTCTGGTTTTGCAAAAATCTCACACCTATATTCCCCTCCTCTGAAGAGTTATAATAGGCACCTCCCCATATTCTTTATTTCTCCTCCATATCAACACATACCTTTGTTGCATTCTTTCTTCTGCTTTCCATGGTGAGAGTAGTTCATTGTTGTAAAACTGAATGAATGAATGAGATCTAGATAAAGGGCTCCCTCTCTTCTTTCCCAATTATTCCTTACCTTCAATGCAATATGTGCATTCCAGCAGGGCTCTTGGGAAGGGATTGTTTTAACCCAAAGGTGTAGCCCTATAGTAAGGATTTTAGCCCACATAGCAGATCAGAGGAGAGTTTTTGGGGTAAGTGGAAGAGTTTGAAGTAGAAGAGGCCTATCTCTGAACACACACTATGCTAGTGATCATCTCTGCCAACCTGTAGGCCCAGCTCTGTGCACAGAAGTTGAGGTACCAAAGAAGTGTCAAGAAGAATGTTGCATCTGAGAATGCATTCTGTAGTGTCTAGGACCTGTGAAGGAGGCCTTACATATTGGAGAATCCTAAGTGCACCTCACCAGTCCACAGAATCCTTGAGCTGATGGGGTTTTAGAAAAATCTCCTCATTCAGCCCCCTTCCTGCTTGTGCACAGATGAAGAACAAAAAACAAACAAACAAACAAGCCATTTGCCATTGAGTCAAGTGCAACTCATGGTGACCCCATATGTGTCAGAGTAGAACTGTGCTCCATAGGTTTTTCTTGGCTGTAATTTTTATGAAAGCAGATAGTCAGACCTTTCTTCCACAGTGCTGTGTGGTGGGTTCAAACTGCTAACCTTTTGGGTTAGTGAAGTGCAAACCCAGGTATCTTAATGAAGAACAGCATCAACCAAAGGTAATCAATCACCTCTCCTTCTAACTCTCTCCTTCTCAGAAACCTGGAGGAACAGAGGCGTCATGGTAACCTCTGCTGGTACTTTGTTTCGTAGAAGTTAAGAAGTGCTTTCTCCACATGGCCAATTGGTTTATGCCCATTTTCTTTTGTTTGATTTCTGGAAGACACAAAGAACAGCAAACCAACATGCTTCTCCTTATAACTCTTCATTGCTTTGGAAACAGTTATAATTGAAAGTAATTTACTGAAATCTATGCTTTTCCCTAGTTAAGCTTAGTTTGTAAGAAAAATGCCTGTGTTCAACAAATCTTTAAGCCAAGTACACAACGTTTTCTCTTTATGATGAAAAGCAGATATCCCATTAAAAGGGATAGATTACTTAGTTACACTTAGTTTGTACTTAAATGTTCTGTTACTAAATATTCTTTCATGGGAACCTCCATCATGCCTGTTGGTGTGTAGATTGGACAAATAGCCTCCTTCCTGAAACCCTAGCCTTTCAGCATGGAACATTGATTTTCCTGAGGCCAATGAGACAGATAACAATAGGTATGCATTGGATTTTACAGCTTGTGTTTCAATATGTAGTTAAAGGATATTATTATTTTTGTTGTAGGTGCCGTTGAGTCATCTCCAACTCATAGCAACCCTATGTACAGCAAAACAAAACAAAGCCTGGTCCTTTGCCAGCCTCACTATCTTTGCTATGCCTGAGCCCATCATTGCAACCACTGTGTCAATCCATCTTGTTGAATGTCTTTCCATTTTTTTGTTGACCCTTCACTTTACCAAACATGATATCCTTCTCCAGATAATGGCCCTTCTGACAACATGACCAAAGTAGGTGAGATGAAGTCTGGCCATTCTCATTTCCAAGGAGCATTCCAGCTACACTTCTTCCAGGACAGATTTGTTAGTTCTTTTAGCAGTCCACAGTACTTTCAGTATTCTTCACCACAACTCAAAAGCATCGATTCTTCTTTGGTCTTCCTTATTCATTGTCCAGCTCTCACATGCATATGAGGCAATTGAAAATACCATGGCTTGTGTCAGGTGCACCTTAGTCTTCAAGGAGACATCTTTGCTCTTCAGCACCTAAAAAAGGTCTTTTGCAGCAGATTTGCCCAATGCAATACGTCATCTGATGTCTTGACTGCTACTTCTATTGCTGTTGATTGTAGAACCAAGTAATATGAAGTCGTTGAGAACGTTAATCTTCTCTCCATTTATCATGATGCTGCTTATTGGTCCAGTTGTGAGGATTTTTGTTTTCTTTATATTGAGGTGTATTCCACACTGCAGACTGTATTCTTCAATCTTCATCAGTAAGTGCTTCAAGTCATCCCCACTTTCAGCAAGCAAAGTTGTGTTGTCTGCATAACATACGTTGTTAATGAGGCTTCCTCCAATCCTGATGCTACATTCTTCTTCAGATAGTCCAGCTTCTCTGATTATTTGCTCAGCATGCAGATTGAATAAGTATGGTGAAAGGATACAACCCTGACACACTCACTTTCTGCTTAAAACTCATCACTGGCTCTCTATCACTTTCATATACCACTATACCAGTTGCTGTCAAGTCACCCATTACTCATGGTGACCCCATGTATGTTAGAGTAGAACTGTACTCCACAAGATTTTCAATGGCTTATTTTTCAGAAGTAGATTGCCAGCACTTTCTTTTGAGGCACCCCTGGGTGGATTTGAATCTCCAACCTTTTGGTTAGTAGACAAGTGCGTTAACCGTTCACATCACCCAGGAATTCCATTACTTTCAGAAGAGAACTCAAACTCCTTAGGGAAATGGTGAAAGGCTGTGCTTCAACTGGTCCTGCTTCCCTCTCCAGTCTCACTTCTGACAAGCTACATACCAATCCTACCACTTGCTTTTCCACATCCGCAGGACTTCACCTTTGGTTGCTCTCTTGCATGGAATATTTTCCTTCCTGTCTTCATCTTCTCTACACTTAATGTTACTCAAGTCTCAATTTGTAGGTCAACCCCTTTGGGAAGCATTTAATGACAAACATCATCTGGGACATATCCCCTCTTAGGGTTATGAGGATATCCTGGCCACTCCTCTATCATGTTACACTGTATTACTTAGTGAATACCCCAGTAGACTGTGAGCTCCTGAAGTTCAGGGCATGGTCTTCCAGCTCTTAGCCTTCAGCATCTAGCACAGAGCCTGGCACCTAGTAATTGCTCAATAACTGTTGGCTAAATGAATTTCCCTCTTTTCTCATGTTTCTGACCTGTGTATGTCCTCATTTTTTCTCTTTATTTACTTCTTCATGAGAGAAAATAATCTGGGGGACAGGTGAGTTATATCTATTTTAAATGTTCTCCTTTTCTTCTATTCATCTGCTTCTTCCTTCTAAGATTCTTGTTTTCTTCTTTCTTCTCCCAGTTTGTACCCCTTCCTGAAGTAGTTTCTCCCCAGACTAAGACACCATATTTTATCCCCATAATACTGCATCCCCACCATCAAGGCTTACTTAGTTATTTGTTGTGGTGCAACAAATTACCCCAAAACATATGGCTTAAAACAATAGACATATATCACACCATATCTGTGGGTAAGGAATTTGAGAGCGGTTTGGCTGAACAGCTTTATCTCATGATCTCTTGTGAGGTTGCTGTCAGGGTGGTGGCAAGGCTTGCAGCCATCTCAAGGCTGGACTAGAGCAAGAGTATCTGCTTCTAGGGTGGCCTACTCATATGACTGGCAAGATAGTGCTGGTTGTTGGCAGGAAGCTTCAATTCTTCCCCCATGGCTTTCCTTGCAGACTGCTTGAGTGTCCTCACAACATGGTGTCTGGATTTCCAGAGTGAGAAATCAAAGAGAGAGAAGAAGGGAGAGGAGAGAGAGAGGGAGAGTGCATGGTGAAAGCCATCTTTTTGGGGATCTAACCTCAAAAGTCACATAGTATCACTTCTATAATTTTCTTTTCATTGTATGAAAATAATTAAATCTAACCCATATTCAAGGGAGGAGAATTAGGCTCTGTCTTTTGAAGGGAGAAATGTCAAGGAATTTGCAGACATGTTTTAAAGTTTCTACCAAGGCTGGTAATGAAGGACTGAATTTGCTCAGTTCTACTTTTTGTGAAAAGTAGGCTAAGGGAGTAGATTGCCTGTACTTTCCAATGAATGGCAAGACAGCAACAGGACCTCAAGTTAGATGCCAGTAATGCTGGACTTCTTTACAGAAGAGAGGCAGTGTGGTATTCTGTTTAAGAGACGGAGGATTGTAATCAGATAAATACAGATTTAAATATAGGCTCATGACTTACTAGCTGTGCAGTGCTGAGAATTATACCAATCTCCTCTTACCTGTTTTCTTATTTCATTATGGAGGTAAGGATAGTTGTATCTACCAGAGGGTTGTTGTGAAGGTTAAATAAAATAATGTATGAAAAGTTCTTAGATCAATGCCTGGCATGGTAAATGTTCAATAAATGTTAGTTCATGATAATAATGTAAATGTTCAGCTGTCTTTCTCAGGTGGCCTTAGTGGTGGGCCTTCCTGAGGAAGAAGAACAAATTAAATGAATTTTCAAGATTCCATCCAGACTCTCCATTAAGATAGGCTTTGGAACAGTGGGAATTACTGTAAGTGCTTAATAGCTGAGCAGCTAACTGCCAAAATATAGGTTAATATGAACAAGGAACTGATTGCCAAGTGTAAGGTGATCTTGATATTCATAGCTATATGGAGACCATCACTTACTTACCCACATTTGCTGTTTTCTTCTCTTCTTCAAGGTCAATTTCTTCATCTTCCTGAAAATTCTCAAGCTTCTCATTTCTAAGCTGAAAGCCCATCAAATGTGTTTCAGAGATTATAAATACAGGTGAGTGTTCCAAGGTCAGTATCCAGCAGTCAAAGGTTATTTTGATTCCTTTCTGACTGTTCTGCCTAATGCCCAGGAAGAGGCCAGGTTTCATTAGTATGTGTCTCTCCTAAGGTGAAGGTATCAGGGAGATCCCCTCTCAAAAGTTTTCAGAGGGTCACACAGCACTTCTAGCACAAATGAGGACCTTTTGACCCCATGAAAATGAGGTAGGTGGTGAGGAATCAAGGACATACATGTTCTTCCAGCAGAAAACTATTGAAATGCTCCTAAAGGTGGGGTGGCTTGTGAGGAAAGGAGAATCATCTGAAGGGAAATTTGACAGCTGACTTCCTTGGGGAAGGATTGAATGTAACAACATAAAGGATGCATTCGTCACTCAGCAGAGTATTTGACTTTCTTGAGACCTTGAGACATTTAGTGTCCAAGGAAATACATTCCTCCTGCAGTCACCCTCTTTTGTGATATGGCTTTGCTATGTCCCATCTTCTATTTTCTGTATTGACCACAGTGCCAGTTCACAGTCAGATCTTGAATATTTATTGAGCTCTTCATCATTGTAAAAATGAATGAATGAATGAGATATAGAGAAAGATCTTCCTCCCTCCTCTACCAGTCATTCCTTACTTTCTATATGTGTGTAATTCAGCAGGGCTTCTGGGGAGAGAGGAGTCCCTAAATGGCACAAACAGATAATGGGAGTGACTGTCACTGAGAGGTTGGAGGTTTGAGTCCATCCAGAGGTTCCTCAGAAGAAAGACCAGCAATCTACTTCCAAAACAAGAGCCATTGAAACACATAGAGTATGGTTCTGCTCTGACACACATGGGATTGCCAGATGTCAGAGTCAACTAGTACTGATGGTGGTTTGGGAAGAGAGTGTTTTAACCCAAAGAAGTAGCCCTGATCGTAGGTATTTCACTCTACACAGTAGGTCAGGGGAAGAAGATATGTGTGAGTAAGGATGGCTATAGCCCTGTTTCTCACTCTTTCTAAAGTCAGAATGGGACCTGACTCATGAGCTGGGAAGGTAGCTTTTTCCTTTTACCTGAGGCATTTATGGGAGCTCTGGTGGTGCAGTGCCTAAGGCACTTGACTACTAACCAGAAGGCTGGTGGTTCAAACCCACCAGCCACTCCTCGGAAGGAAGATGGGGCAATCTACTTCCATAGTGATACTGCCTCGGAAACCCAAGGAGGGGTCGCTGTGAGTCGGGTCCAACTGGATGGCACATAACAACAACAACAACAACTGGTGGTATAGTGCCTAAGGCATTTGACTGCTAACCAGAAGGCTGGTGGGTCAAACCCACCAGCCACTCCTCAAAAGGAAGATTGGGCAATCTAATTCTGTAGAGATAATGCTTCAGGAAGCCAAGGAGGGGTCGCTATGAGTCTAATGGACTTGATGGCAGTGAGTTTGGTTTTGTTTGGTTTTTGAGGCATTTATTAGCGGCATTTCATGAATGCCTCTGGCACTTGGCACTATGACTGGAACACAAAGGTAAGTATAATGAGGCCCCTGTCTTTGAGGAGCACACATCCTAATTTATTAAGGATGGGACGTTGGTCAGGAGGCTGGTGCCTTAGGTAAGTCACTTGGCCTCCCTGTTTTTTGCTGTAAAATAGGAGTCACACCAAGCCTATCTCCTGCTTGTTGAGTACCAACAGTGGTTGCCATCGAGTCAATGCCAACATATAGAAACCCCATGTGTGACCCCATATGTGTCAGAGTAGAATTGTGCTCCACAGCTTTCAATTGATGATTTTTCAGAAATAGGTCACCAGGGCTTCCTTCTTTGGTATCTCTGGATAGACTTAAATATCCAAACTTTTGGTTAGCAGCTGAGCATATTAACTGTTTGCACCACTCTTAAGATCAAAGGAAACCATAGTGACCTAATCAATTCAAAAGTGGTAAGTGACATTTGCCTGGGATCTTCCCTCCCAGAGATCCAGAAAAATAAATACACAACTTAGGACTGGACAAATATATACTGTATTTGGTAGTTGGCTTTGGCTTAAACATTTTCTAGAAACCCGCTAGCCCCAGGGAACTAGCCTAGACTAGACTACAGGGAACCACACTGTCTCTCTCAGCGTCTCTGGTCAAGTCTCCAAGTGGCTAAGCAGCCTCTTTGGCCACTTTCCCAAGACTCAGGCCCCACGTCAACATCTCTCACTATCTCTGGAGGTCCATGGCTGAGAACAGTGCTGGTCTGCCCTGCTTGAGCCCATTCATGAGGGGAAGTCCTCTCAGCAGCCAGGCCCTAGGAAAACCAGAACACCCTAACACCCCAACACCCCAAAAACTAGCAAGAGGGTAACATTGCCAGAAGACAAAAGCAGGAAGGAGATGAATTCCAAGATACCACTTTCCATGCAAATCCAGAGCCTGAATCCTGATGCTTTGTGTCCCCAAAGCCCATCATCTACTTGTGGGGCCTTCCCTGGGGTCTAGACCCACCACAGCCCCTATAATAGTTTTTCATCCTGACTGCTCATAGCATCACGAGACATCTGACCAAAAGCACAGACTTTTGAGTCCCACCATTGGGTCTTCTGATTCAGTAATGTGGGATGACATGCACTTCTTACTCAGGAGATTCTGGTACACAACCAGAATGGAGGGCCAGTAGCTCAGGCAGTCTAGTGAAATAATACATAGAATTTTCTGGTTGGGCCATAATGAATGTGTTCCTGAGTAGCCTCAATATTCCCTTTTCTACAGTTTCCTCTAAGGTAATCGAAGACAGAAGGATCCAAAGTTTTCTGATCAATCATCTCTATCTATAAAGAAATTTTGGGCATATTCCTTATCATATATGTGTGTGTGTGTATATATATATATACCTTGCATGTGTATATATACCTTGCATGTGTGTGTATGTATATATGCCTTGCACCACCTTGTAGTGTGCACAGTCTATACGTTGGCATTGACTCAATGGCAACCACTGTTGGTACTCAATAAGCAGGAGATAGGCCTGGTGTGACTCCTATTTTATATATATATGTGTGTGTGTGTGTATATATATATATATATATATATATATATATATATATAGTCTGTTGAATTAGTATGTGTATTATGAAATATATGAAGAAATAGAACTTTATTTATATTTTCTTCCAATACCAAGTGGATTGCCTTGCACCACCTTGTAGTGTGCACGGTCCCTTGAGCACCATTGATCTCCACCTTCGTGCAGGTGATGATTCAGGAAGGCTGCTTTAAGGGGAGAAAGATCTAATATAAATGATGCATCTGGAAACTCCTCCTTTCCTTAAAATTTGCATTTGTTCAAGGAAAATGCTTGAGAAGGGAGGAACTTGGGTGTCTACCTTCCTGGTGGTCTCCTGGAGTGAAGTACCTCACCTTGGTGAGTTTACAGGGCTTGAGGTCTGTAATAGGGACCTATCAATATTCCTGAGTGGCTGGGACTCTGGAGGACTGACTGTTGTCAACTGAACTCACAAGATACTTAGATATATATAAACTGTTGTTGTTAGGTGCCGTCAAGTTGGCTCTGACTCATAGTGACCTTATGTACAACAGAACAAAACACTGACCAGTCCTGCACAATCATCACAATCCTTACTACACTTGAGCCCACCATTGCAGCCACTGCATCAATCTATCTTGTTCAGGATCTTCCCCTTTTTCACTGACCCTCTAATTTACCAAGCATGATATCCTTCTCCAGGGACTGGTCCCTTCTGACAACATGACCATAGTAGGCAAGAGGAAGTCTGGCCATTCTTTCTTCTGAGGAGCATTCTGGCTGCACTTCTTCAAGGACAGATTTGTTAGTTCTTCTGGCAGTCCATGGCATTTTCAGTATTCTTTGCCAGCACCATAATTCAAAGACATCAACTCTTCTTCTGTCTTCCTTATTTATTGTCCTGCTTTCACATGAATATGAGTAGATCAAAAACACCATGGCTTAGGTGAGGCAGTCCTTAGTCTTCAAAGTGACATCCCTGCTTCTTAACACTTTAAAGAGGTTTTTTGCAGCAGATTTGCCCAGTGCAATATACATCATATGATTTCTTGACTGCTGCTTCCATTGGTGTTGATTGTGAATCAAGTAAAATGAAATTTTTGACAAATTCTATCCCTTCTCCATTTATAGTGATGTTGCTTATTGGTCTAGTTGTGAGGATTTTTGTTTTCTTTATCTTGAGGGATAATCCATACTGAAGATTGCAGTCTTTGATCTTCATCAGTAAGTGCTTCAAGTCATCTTTCAGCAAGCAAGATTGTGTCATCTGCTTATCGCAGATTGTTAATAAGTCTTCCTCCAATCCTGATGCCATGTTCTTTTTCATATAGTCCAGCTTCTTATATTATTTGCTTAGCATACAGATTGGATAAATTTGGTGAAAGGACACAACCTGATGTGTTAACCATGCAGTATCTTCTTGTTCTGTTCAAACAACAGCCACTTGGTCTATGTACAAATTCCTCTTGAGCACAACTAAGTGTTCTGGAATTTCCATTCTTCATAAGGCTATCCATAATTTTTTATGATCAACAAAGTCAAATGCTTTTTCATAGTCAGTGAAAGACAAGTAAACATCTTTCTGGTATTCTTTGCATGCAGACAAGATCCATTTGACATCAGCAATGATTTCCCTCATTCCACATTCTTTTCTGAATCCAGCTTGACCTTCTGGAAGTTTCCTGTCAATATATTGCTGTAACCATTTTTGAATTATCTTCAGCAAATTTTTACTTGCGTATGATATTAATGATATTGGTCAATAATTACCACATTCTGTTGGATTACCTTTCTTTGGAATAGGCACAAATATGAATCTCTTCCAGTCAGTTAGCCAGGTAAATGTCTTCCAAATTTCTTGGCATAAATGAGTGAGTGCCTTCAGTGCTGCATCCATTTGTTGAAACATCTCAATGTGTATTCCATCAATTCCTGGAGCCTTGTTTTTCCCAATTCCTTCAGTGCAGCTTGGATTTCTTCCTTTAATACCATTGGC